ATGATTCCCAGTGAAATCCAATGCTCAGGGACCACGCACAATCCGCATTTCTATCGCACGTCTTCCAGATAATGTGGAGGTTCCAGGAGATCAGGGATTAGTCTGTTGTGTGCACTTTCATTAAGCCAGTGCTAGGCACAGAGGAGGAGCTCAAAAAGGATCATGACATTTAAGTAAGAAAATGATTTTTAAAGACTTGGACTAGGAATCAGAGATTAGGGATCCAGTCTTGGTTTTGCTTCTAATTCACTGGGTTCCTTGGACAGCCCATCCCCTTTTCCTGCCCCTCTTTGGAACTCCTTGTCTCTCTTCTGAAAATGTGGAGTTTAGGGCTAGATCAGTGATCCTCAGCTCTGGCCATACTTAGAATGAATCTGGGATGCTTAAAAATAATGGATGGATGCCTGGATCCTATCTCAGATCAATTAAAACAATCTCTGGGGTGGGACACTGGTAGTTTTTAAAGTATCTAGGTGAGGGGCTCCTGGACGGCTCAGGTCATGATCTCAGAGTCCTGAGGGCTCCATACTGAGCATGGATGGAGGCTGCTTCAGATTCTCTTTCTCCCTCTCTGCCACTCCCGACCCTCTCAAAAAAAAAAAAAAAGTAGTAGTAGTATCCTGGATGATTCTGATGGTATAGCTAGAGTGGAGAACCTCTGAGCTAGATAGTCTCTCATTGCCCTTTACGTTCTGCACCCACATTTCAGCATGTGCTGAAGCAGAGACTGGGAACAGGCCTCTAAGGCCACACCTACCCACCACAAACACAGGCGGCCCAATTTTTTTTTTAAAGTAGCCTCCCTGCCCAGTGTGGAGCCCAGTGTGGCAGCAGGGGCTTGAACTCATGACCCTGAGATCAAGACTTAGATGCTTGCCAACTGAGCCACCCAGGTGCCCCACAGGGGGCCCAATTCTAATGTCTGTTTTGCTTGCCAGGGTACCTGGCTGGCTCAGCCAGTGGAGACTGCAACTCTTGATCTTGAGGTTGTAAGTTCTAGCCCCATGTTGGTTGGGTATAGAGATTTCTTAAAAATAAAAAAAATCTTAAAAAAAAAAAAAGAGTGTTTTGCTGTACATTCACTGGGCGGGCTCATCTGACCCCACCTCTCTTATCCGTAGGGCTGGTGAGAGCTTTGGGTGAGTCACACATGCAGAAACACATTAAAAATGGAGCACCACGCAACCTTTCTTACTCCCTCTAGTTTTGCCTTCTTCAGAAAGTCATATACTTGGAATCATACAGTGTGGCTTTCAGACTGGCTTTTTTCATTAAGCAATATGCATTTAGGTTTCCCCCATATTTTTGTGGCTTGATAGCTCATTTCTTTTTATCACTGAATAATACATTGTGTGTCTCTGTCACAATTTGTCGATTCACCTTTTGCACGACTTCCTGGTTGCTTCCAGTTTTGGGCAATTATGAATGAAGCTGCTACAAACATTTGTATACAGGTTTTTGCATGGACATAAGTTTTCAACTCATTTAGGTAAATACTAAGGACAGCAATTGCTGGATCCTCCAGTAAGACTATATTTAGCTTTGTAAGAAACTGCCAAACTGTCTTTTCAAGTGGCTGTACCATTTTTGCATTCTCACCAGCAATGAGAATTCCCGGTGCTCCACATCTTTGTCAGCATTTGGTATTGTCAGTTTTTGGATTCTAGCCATCCTAATAGGTATGTAATAGGATTTCATTGCTGATTTAATTTGCAACTCCCTAATGACATAGGGCTGAGCATCTTTTTGTATGCTCATTAGTCCCCTGTATATCCTTTTTGGTGAAGTGTCTATTCAGATCTTTTGCCCATTTTTAAATTGGGTTGTTAGTCTTCATATTGAATTTTAAGAGTTCTTTGTAGATCTTTGTATATTTGGGGGTACAGACCCTTTATCTGAAATGTTTCGCAAATATTTGGTCAGTCCTTGGCTTTTTCATTCTCGTAACGATGACTTCGTGGAGAAGTTTTTAATGAAACCCGATTTATCAATTCTTCCATGGATTGTGCTTTTGATGTTGTTTCTAAAAACTCATCACCAAACCCAAGGTCACCTGGATTTTCTCCTGTTTATCTTCTAGAAGTTTTACTGTTTTGTTTTACATTTGGGTCTATGAACCCTTTTAACATTTGTGAATGGTGTACAGTGTTTAAATCCAGCACTATTTATTGAAAAGACTATCCTTTTTTCATTGAATTGACTTTGCTCCTTTGGCAAAGATCAGCTGACTGTATTTACGTGGATTTACTTCTGGGTTCTCTATACTCATTCCATTGATCTATTTGTCTAGTCCTTTTGCCAGTACCACACTGTCTTGATTATTGTAGCTTTATGATAAATCTTGAAGTTGGGTAATGCCAATCCTCCTTTGTTCTTCCTTGACTTTATTATTGTGTTGGCTATTCTGGGTCTTTTGCCTCTCTATATAAACTTTAGAATCAATTTGCCGATATTCTCAAAACTAGTTGCTGGGATTTTGATTGGGATTTCACTAAAGTTATAGATCAAGTTGGGAAGAAATGACATCTTAATAATATTGAGTCTTCCTATACATGAGCATGGAGTATCTCTTCATTTATTCTGATTTTCCTTGATTTCTTTCATCAGAGTTTTATAGTTTTCCTCATATAGATCTTGTACATATTTTGTCAGATCTACCCCTAAGCGGTGTGTGCGTGTGCGTGTGTGTGTGTGAGTGTGCTGAATAGCTGGGGCACAGGGGATTTTTAGGGCAGTGAGATTATTCTGTATGACAGTGTAATGATGGATACATGACATTATACATTTGTCAAAACCCACAGAACTATACAATAAAGAAAGTGAACCATAGGGACTTTAGTTAATAATGATATATCAATACTGGTTCAGGGACGCCTGGGTGGCTCAGCCGGTTAAGCGTCTGCCTTCGGCTCAGGTCATGATCCCAGGGTCCTGGGATCGAGGCCTGTGTCGGGCTCCCTGCTCAGCGCAAAGCCTGCTTCTCCCTCTGCCTGCCGCTCCCCCTGCTTGTGCTTGCTTGCTCTGACAAATAAATAAATAAAATCTTAAAAAAAAATCAATACTGGTTCATTAATTATAATAAACACACTACAGTAATGCAAGATGTTAATAATAGGAGAATCTGAGCCAGGGAGAGAGGGGGATATATGGGACTCTGTACTATCTGCTCAATTGAATGTAAGCCTAAAACTGCTCTAAAAAATAAAGTCTGGGGGCACCTGGGTGGCTCAGTCGGTTAAGCGTCTGCCTCCGGCTTGGGTCATGATCCCGGCGTCCTGGGATCGAGCCCCGCGTCGGGCTTCCTGCTCAGCAGGAGGCCTGCTTCTCCCTCTCCCACTCCCCCTGCTTGTGTTCCCTCTCTCGCTGTCTCTCTGTCAAATAAATAAAATCTTTAAATAAATAAATAGTCTATTAAAAAGTGGGGGGGGATTACCAACTCCAAATGAAAGGGAGCCCCTGGCGAATGAAGTCTTCCAGTGGCTCCTCCTTGCTTACAGGGCCAAGCCTACAGCCTCTTGTCAAGCACAGGGAGTCCTCTACAGTTAGACTGCCCCTTCAGCCCATGAGCCACTCCACCCTCTACTGTGCAGCTGAACTGAATCATTCGGGCTCCAGGAGGGAATCTGGGACTTTACTCTCTTGACCTGGGACACTGTCCCTCCCTTGCCTGGTCTGCAGAAGAAGTTTCTGCAGATTTCAGTTTGGACACAAAGAAGTGATACTGGTCCAAAGCACCTGCTTCATAACACCACCTATTGTGCTTCTGTTTCTGTCAGGATCTCCTTCCTGTCTCCTGAATTAAACCAAGAATACCCTAGCATACCCTGCTGCCTTCCCATCACTCCCTGTTCTTTCCAAATGTACAAACAGAAGAATTAACAAAATTTCAGTAGTGAAGTTATTGTTCCCACAGTCTTGAACCACAGTCCCGAAACTGCATCAACAACCTTGGGGGGCCATAGCAAATTCATAGGGGGCGTGGTAGGAGATTTTAAATTTGGGAGATACTCAACGTCTGCTGGCTACAGAGAGATCTACTAGCTCAAGGTAGATCATAGTTTCATCCTCAGGTTGTGATACATTCCTTTGGTTAGGTCATCTTTGAGAAGCTGGGTCTTTGGTGGTTGCTGTGATAAAAAGCCACTGAAAGTCAATGTGGAACAGGAAGTGAGGGTAGTAGTGTCCAGTCTGATTAGAAAATCCAACGAGCTTTATAGTGCCCAACAAGCACACAGATCCCATTGCTGTATTTAAGAATGAAATAAAAGTATTGTTTCTTCTAGTTTGTATGTATTATTATTTTTTAAAACAGTGACTTGGTAAGACATAGTCCTTAATATGTGATTTGAGTATAATTACTTGATAAATAGAACTGTTAGGCATTTCTTTTGGTTTAGAAGCTCTGTGAGAAAATTACCGAGCCACTAATGCTGGGTTAGTGCTATGAGCTGAGAAAGTTTGGGAACTTCTGGTCTAAGATATCCTCTAATCCAGGGCACATCAAAAAACTGTAGGTTGTGAAATCCATTTAGTGGGTTATAGCCAGCATTTTTTCTCCTTCATAAAACACCATAATGGTAAATAGAACACACTGCATGTAGCAAGGGCAAATATTATTGCGTAAAACTTATGTTCATTATATACACACAAATAAGCATGGGTATCTTGGGTCACAGTGTAAAATGTGTATTTCTTGTTTGGGTTGATTTTAGAAGTTTGAAAAGCCACTAAGACTTCAACCTCCTCATTTTGGAGATGAGAGAACAGCCTGGCGAGGGAAAGCTGATTCCCGCAGTTCACAACCACCAGTACCAGGCTCTGCTGCACTCAGCCCCGCTATGCTGGGTGCCCACTGCTCACAGGGATCCTGCAAGGCAGGCCTCATTCTACCCAGTAGAATGTGGTTACTCAAAGTCACATAGCTACAGAGGTGAGGGATCAGGTACCCTCACTTTGGTTCCAAGACCCATTTGCACCCCACAAATGCCAGCAGCCACACCTAGAACAAAATGGTTTTAATCAATTGCGTCACCCTCACTCTCCTGGGAGCGGAGCAACAAAAAGGCTCGGCTCCTGCCCCCAGAGGACAGTAAGGCTTATGTGTCTCTCCACACTGCAGGGCCCAGGCTGGGCAGGCAGGGGGCGGGGAGGGGGGGGCAGGGAGGGAGGGAGGGTGGGAGGCAGGGAGAGAGGAAATGGCAGGTGGCTCAAACACAGGAAAGCAAAAGGGGCCCCTGCTGGTCCTTGGGCCCCAGGGCCCAGCCCCCGCACTCCTGCTTTCCCCTCCCTGGCTCGAGAAAGGTCATGGAGAAGAGACAGGGGAGCAAGTCCCAGCAGCAGGAAAAGCAGCAGCAGCTGTTTCCTTCACCAATAAATATACTTCATTACCAAGCTAGGAGAGAGGGGTGGGAGAGGGACTGGGTGGGGCGGAGGGGGAAGAAGCTGCCACCTGTGTTGCTGGGATTAAAGCAATGACGAGATGGTGCCAGACCCCCCACCACTATCCTCACCACCCCCCTTCTTAAAACTGTGAAAAAGCTTTTAACATGGCCCTCCTGTCTCCAGGGCTGCTCTGAAGCCTGACTGAGAGGAGGCACCTGGCAGAGACCAGGCGGAGGGAGGGAAGGACGGAGGGAGGGAAGAAGGGAGGCTGCAGCTGGAGGGCTGGAGCCAAGTAAGCACTGAGGGGAAAGAGGGGGGAGAGAGGAGGAAGGCTGAGCAACTATCAGGAGCAGCTCCCAGCTGAGAGCCAAGGGGGCAGAGAGAGGCTTGGTGAGTGGTGGGGTGACTGCTGTCCAGTGTTAAGCTTGGGGCTGCTGAGGAGGGAGGGGGCCAAGTTAGGGATTTTCCCGTCTGAGTGGCTCAGGAGACCCACCCCCCTCCCCCCAGAGCAGCAGGGGGACAGAGAAAAGCCATCACTTCTTTGGTCTTTGTGGCGGCTCAGCACGTGGAGTGGGAGGGAGGGCAGAAAGGGCCCTTAGCAGGGAGCGCCACCTCAGCAGAGTAGGCCTGGCTGGGAGCTCTGGCAGAAAGGTCACAGTGAGGCCAAGGAGCCCCCAGAAAGGGGAGTGGGAGTGGTCGTAGTGCAGTGCAGAAGGGTATGGCGTGGTGCTCCACCCTCTGCCAGGGCCCTTGGGAAAGGCTAAGCCCCCAGAGGTGGCCAGTGAGCGCAGGCGCGGGGTCCAGAGCCAGCACTGGGAGAAGGGCGAGGACGCTCTCCTGCCCAGGCTGGGGACTGGCCTCACCTACTGCAGGACTCCCACCTTCCTTCTGCTTCCACCCTGACATGGTGGCTCTGGAGGGAGGGTGGGACCCCATCCTTTTTCAGAACCTTCCCTGAAGCCACAGAGGAGCTAGCCTTGCCCGTAGGAGCAAGAGTGGCAACAGGTCAAGGCTAGCCCTTACGGACTGGAATTCCACTCCCCTTCCTGTCGCCAACTGAAGTGTAGGGCAATCCTTGAAGACAGCTTCAGCCCTTGCCTCCCAACCTGAGGCAGGCCAGAGCCCGCCAGGAACATGGAAGTGGGAGGTGGGGGGTATTTGGAGGGGCTTCCCCTCCTGCTCTTCTGCTCAGAGCTGGGGCCAGTCAAGGGGCAATCTGCCCAAAAGTCTGAAAGCCAGCAAGTTGTAGCAACCCCCCACCCCCAATGCCAAACTAACAAACAAAACAGGGAAATGAAAAAATGGGGGGAGGAGGGGAAGACAAACCAAAACAGAACCCCCTGACCTCCTGCCCATGGTGAAGGGTCCAGCCAGTAGCAGGGGCTGGGGACCAGAGCTAGGAGGGTCTAGCTGGGCCGGCACTGAACCTGGCCCTCGGAGCTGTCCTCGTCGTCAGAGGCCCCAGCACCCCCACTGCTCAGGCCTGTGATCCGGTAGCCCATGTTGAGCAGCATCACCTCCAGTGGGTCAGCATTCATGCGTCGCTGGTTCGCCTGGGAAGCACCCTCCATGTCCTCCACAACTCGGCCTGTGAGGTCTTCACTCTGTGGGGGAAGGCACACATACCACTGGGATATATGTGTGTGTGGGGAGGTCGGCAAACACACACACAGATGGAGCGATATATGTAGAAGGCGCTGTACATACCAGGAGATGTACTTGGGATTTGTACGTATACTCATATGTGTATCTGGGTGCCAGGGAATGCACACACGGGGATATGTACAGGACACATGCTCACCAGGATATAGATGTGAGGGAGATGACACACCACATGGGGTTATACATATGGGGCCCATTTGGTAATATACACTGGGCGGACACAATACACTGAGGTATACGTGGGGGTGCACATGCTGGGATGCATACTGGGGGGGCATACACATATCAGGTTACGTATCGGCGGGGCCCCATACAGGAAACGACGGGGACATACCACATGGGGTTATATACATGGGGGGCCCATACATGGACATATATGTGAGAGGACTCACACCAGGGTCTGTTGGGCACACCTACTAGATACCCAAGGTGGGGGGCACAGACAACACCCCCCCATCCTACTCTTTTCTGTCATCACTCCCAACAATCCTTCCTTTATCTTTTTCCTCTCCCCTCATGGGACAGGCCTATAGGGTTCTCTTTAAAATTCACAGTAAATTGCCTCTGTAATTAGATACACCACTTGACTTCTGTCTTGCTGGCTAGAGAGGGGAAGAAGTGAGGCAGAGGGCAGGGGAGGCCTCAGGCCAGCCTGCCTGGCTACCCACCCTGGGAGTGGAGGGGACCACCCCATCCTAAGTGTCCCTGTGGACTGGACACTTCACCGGCATCACTTCTTTATCCTTAAAGCAACCTTTTGAGGTGGTGCTGTCATTCCCATTCCAATGTGCAGATGATAAAACCTGGGCCAGAGATGGTTGAGTCCCTTAGGCAGTGAGTGAAGGGACCAGGATTCACACTTAGGCTCACCAGACTCCAAAGCCTGCATACTTTCCATGTAACCAAGGGACTGGCTTTTGCCCAGCTTCGGGGAGGACACAACGCAGTGGTATATGAGGTCCCTAGGGAGCCCCTGAGGTACTGTTCTCATGAGGTGGCGCTGGAGACGCTCTGGTTCCCTCCCTATCTCCTGCACCCCTGGTTACTGTTTCCTGTATGTGAGTCTCATCTTCTCCGCTTGCTCAGGGATATGCCTCCAGAAGGCAGGCACCTACTCCTGCCCCTGGGATTGCCTACTGCATCTGGCACTTTCAGAATTTGAGGGCTCCCACCTTGACACAGCATTGGGCCCTTGGGTAAGAGTTCCCTCATCCTAGCAGCTTCTAGTCTCTGGGTGACTCATTTCCCTTCGCAATCCTCCCAGGCTCAGCCAGGGGCCTTGCACAGGGTCCAGCCCAGACTTTCTCCCTGTCTAGTTTTGGCCATCTTCTCTGCACCCTCACCTCTGGCCGGGGGTTCCAGAGCCGCACAACAGGGTCGATGCCGCTGGTGGCCAGGAAGCAGTAGCTGGGGTGTGGCTGCAGGCAGTTGACAATGGACTCGTCCCCTTGGAGCACACGGACCAGGTTGGTGGTCTCCTTTTCCCAGATGAAGAAGGAGCCATCGTCAGAGCCACTGACGATGTACTGAGCGTTGCTGGCAGAGGGGCAAAGGGCAGGGAGGTCAGGTGGGGTACTGCCCTACAGCCTCAAGTAGAGGCTGTGTGGCTTAGGGCAAGGGGGAGCAGGGAAGTCTGGAGCTGCTCATTCCCCCCGAACTCTGGGGTCTTCACATGGCTCAGAACTCCCCCACACATCGTAACCCTCTCCATTCTGCAGAGCCCTAGTCGCTGTGCAGCTATTAGGCTCAGGATCAGGGACTGCTTGGGTACCTCGAAGATACTCTCCCTCAAGGCACATTATAAGCTCCGTGGGTGCTGGATCAGATTTTGCATCTCCTACGTCTCTGGGAACACTCTTGTCTAAGCCTTCCCTCAGCAGTCCTAGCCTTTCTGGGTCCAGAACCCCCACCCTACAGTACATCTGCCCCTCACACACCATTGACACTTAGAGGGGATCTTGATGGAGAGACTCTCGACAGTCAAGTGTTTCACCTGCCCAAAGAAAGTACACCATCTACAGAGGAGGGTTGGGGGTGATTGGGTCTGAGACATGGGCTATGTCCCTCAGTACCAGGGGCACAGTTCTGAGCACACAAGTGTGCCAAGACTGCCAGCCTCTGCGGGCTCTTGCCTCATACCCCAGTAGAGAGAAGCTCCAAGCATCCACATCAAGAAACCAAGCTCTGGCACATGGAGATGGAGAGAGAGGAGGTGCGGGATAAAGGCAGAGTCTAGGCCCTGCTGGATGCTTTGTGGATTACCTTATTATGACCCCATAAGTGGGGATGGCTGGTTTCATTTTACAGATGAAGAAACTGAGACCCACAGAGGTGAAACCATTTGGTGAAGGATACAGGTAGAGCTGGGATTTGAGACTTTTCTAAAAGCATTATGCCCCCGTGCCCCCCCAACCTCCTGCTGCCAACCGGGCTGTGCCCTCCTCCTCTTCAGGGCCTCGGACCTGCCAAAGAAATTGGCCTCCTTGATATCCGTGGTGGTGTTGCAGTGGCCACAGTAGCGGAACTGATAGTCGTAGCTTCGCTCCCGCAGCACCATCTCATCCTCGGAGATGGAGTCCTTGCGGCTCGTGCTGCGGAGGCGGACAGGACCGCCACCGCCACCACCAGCTCCCTTCTTCTCCTCTAGGGGCAGAGAGCAAGGAAAGGTGAGACCTGTCCCTCTCTCCCCTCCCCTACCTTGTCTCCACGCCTGGCCCTGTTTTCAGCCCAAGTGCTGACAATGTAGGGCTGCCTGCCTCTACCCCTACCCTGGAAAGCTGGCAATGACTGTGAGGAAGAAGCACCTTTGGACCCAGCCCTTGAGGATGTTCAAAAGGGGACCTTGGACGCTAGGAGGGCCTTGGCTCAGGTCCCTGAATCATGTCTGGAAGCCCCAAGGATGCACAGGCCCACAGTCTGTTTCTGTGGAGATAAGAGACAGGGAGGGAAGGTGAAGCCCTACTGAGAGCCTTGAAGGGATGATTTTTCTAAATAGACCCACAGGTCTGAAGGCAGTAAGGTCCAAGCCCTTCCTCCCTGGAAGACGACTTATAGATCCCAAATGAGGCACTGACCGGTTCAGTGCCTTGGGTAAAATCACAACAGTTTTCTCAGTGCCTTAAAAGGGCCTTGATTCTGCCTGCCTCAGGGCTTTTGCATAGCTGGTCCCTAGGCCAGGAAGTCTTCACCTCCCACAGCTACACTTTGTATCTAGTTACCTCTTCTTCCTCACCCTTGAGATCTCTGATTACATGTCTCCTCCTCTAGAACCCCAGCCTGACATCAAGCCCTGCCCCATGCAGCTATACTGTATCAGCCCTCCTTGGCTCTCATCACACTCCATCTCTCCTTCATTGCCTGGTTCCTTCACTAGGGCTGTAAGCTCCATGAATACAGAAATCCCATCTGCCTTGTCCACAGCTGTACACCCAGGACCCAGCACAGTGCCTGGCACATGGTAGATGCTTGGTAACTATTCAAACAAATCAATCAATCGCATGGTTAGTAAACTGCATAGGAGAGAGGTGAGGATCCACATCTGCCTCCAGTGAGTTCACGTTTCATCACAAAACCCAACTCACTCTCCAATGCTACTGAGGTGAGCTGGACAGGGCTTCGAATGCTCTCTGTGAGGGTAAGGCAGTGGGTTCAGGGAGGCTGTGCTTTACCCAAGGTCACATGGTGACCACATGGCAGAGCTGAGGCTGGAACCAAAGGTTCCACACCCCATGCGTGAGGCATTTCCACTGCCAGCATCCAAACTGGAGTGAGTGCAACCCCCAGCTGCTGCCCCTTACTCACGGCTAAGGCCCTGTGAGCAGCTGAGAAGGCCCAGCTGGAGCTATGCGGATGGCCTGACTGGGCTCAGCTGACTCCTGTCCTGAGTCCCAGGCATTACGCCAGGTGCTTTAAACATGCTATTCCGAATCCTCAACAGAAACCCTAAATGGGAGGTGTTATCACTCTGCCTTTACAGATGAGGAAACTGAGTCCCAAAGTCACATGATTTCTGAATCAGCATCTGAACCCAGGCCTCTCTAATCTCAGAACCATGTCCTCTCCAGCATGTCCCATAGGACCTCAAATAGAAAGAGACAGCACCCCCCTCCTCAGTGCCCACTCACCACCGTCATTTTTGGAGAAGAGGGCTGCCGTGATGTCGCGGCCCAGTGCGTCACAAGCGCTGCTGTGGGCCTGCTCCGGAAACTTCCCTTTGAAGTCATCCAGGCACTCCAGGGCCTCGGCCACATACTTGAGCTCAAAGAGGCAGCGGGCCAGGCGGAAGTGTGCCTTTAGGTGGCATGGGTTTAGGGAGATGGCCTTGAGGCAGTCTCTCAGGGCATCGTAGTGGTCGCCGTCCCTGGGAAGGCAGGGGAGCGTGGCCTGGAGGTGGGGCCACTTGGCAAGCAAGGAGTCCACCCTGCCTCCTCTGCTTCCTGTGGCCACCTCAGCCCACCTCTGACAGATCTCAGGGCGAGGGTACTTGGAAATGAAAAGAACCCTGGCTCAGCCCAGGCCTTGCTCCCCAGGAGATAGAGTATGTTAAGATGAGTCAGGAACCCTGAAGTCTTGGGGGGGTTGGGGGATGGGGGTGTGTGTTTGAGAAAAACAGTGTCAGGCTGCCCTCTGCTGGGCACAGAGTGCAACTGCGCACTGGCTCACCCCAGGCACCCGCAGCTCTGCAGCAGAAGGCCTGGCATCTTGCCCACCTCAGGCTCCCCAAGCCCTCCTTCTCTCTTCCTCCAACTACCTCCTCAAATCCCCCCGGCTGGTCTTCAAAGCCATGGCCAAGGTGGGGGGCCCTCAAGGACAGTTCTGCGGTCTGGGGAAGCCAGAAGTGCCAGGCTGGGGACTCAGGGTCTGACCAGCAGGCAGCAAGCCCTCAGCCAGACCCCCCTCTGTCCTGGCTGACTGATCCACAGCAGCTGTGGCCTCTACCTCCCGGGGCTGAAGGATGGGGCCTGACAGACTGGCAGAGTCAGCTCTCTAGAAGCTGATGGCGAAGGGGGATGTGCATGCCAGGAACACCAAATTATCCCCACTCACTTCTTCAACCTCCCAAAGCATGGATGAAGGGAAGTGGGGATGGTTTTTAGGGGAGAGCGAGAGGGGAGGGGTCAAAGGAGAAGTCCCCTGCTCTCCCACCCTGTGCCAGAATATAGGCTACACTCCTCCAGCACCTCTCATCTGTTCCCACCTGTCATTTGGAGAGCCAGACAGGTCACAGGAGCCACTTCTCCTTTGGTAGCCTTTTTCTTTTTCTTCCCTTTCCCTGATGGGCTGAGGCGGGCCTAGAACCCAACTGTGCCAAGCAGCACTCCCCAGAGTTGATGCTCCTTCCACCAAGGCCCAGCTCACAACCCTCCTGCATAGGGCCAAAGCAGGCCTGACAGGGGAAAGGTCCTCCTGACTCTCCTCTCCCGACAGCACTCAGAGGGAGCATCCAGCCCTTGCAGCAGCCATGCTCAGATCAGGAACAAGCAGCTCACCAGCGTGGGAGCAGGCAGGGGACAGAGTGCTTTGAGGGTATGGCCTGCGTCAGAACGACTGGCTGTGATGAAGGAGCAGGCACTGTTCAGAAACCCAATTACCACCTGCAGAGTGCCCCTCAGAGCTCCTGGAGAGAGCCAGACAGAGACCAACCAGGAGCCAAGGGGTGACAGCTCCCACCGCATCCAGGAGCAGATGGCAGCCCTGGAGAGACTGGCCTGGGACAGAATGTGACATTCTACGGGTCACTGGCAGGCATGTGGGGATGGGGAGAGCAGGCTGGCCCCAGGGCTCACCCATCCAGACTCACTGCCAGATCAATCTCCCTGAAAGGGCAGCCCTCAGCACATCCCTCTCCAGCTCGAAACTCTTCAGTAGCTGCCCATCATCCCACTGAATCCAGGCCAAAACGCCACCACTCTGCATTCCAAGTCCTTCCCAGGCCAGCCCCAGGCTACCTCACAGACTCATCTCCTGCCAGTCCCTTCCAGAACCCTCTGCTCAGCCAAATGGATTTGTTGTTCTGCAAACAAGCTCTTCAGTCAGTCCCCCACCCCCATGCCTTTGTTCACACCATTCATCTCCCTGGGAATGTCCTTTCCCCATAATCCCCTCCTCCTTTTCATTTCCTTGCCTAAGTCTGCCCACACTTAAAGCCCATCAGACACCTCATCTTCCTGACACTTCCCTGACCCCAGCTAAAGTGACCTAACTTTTCTTAGTGCCCACAGTCCTTTTACCTGACCACTCAAAGACTCACTGCTTCCTGCCTCATCATGATGAACCCTGATCATGTCTTTGTCCTCTATCCAGAGGCTGGGCACTCTGGAGCACAGGAACTCAAAAGTGAAGAACTTTGTGTCCCTGCTATCTAGTGCATAGTAGGAGTTCAGAGAACATGTCAAGGGCACCCATCAGCCTCTCTTAGCAAGAATGCAAGAGTGAAACAGCTCTCAGTCTAAAGCATGGATGAGGACCCTGCCTTCTACCCCACTCCTGGGACAGAGAGGCAAAACACCTCAGGATGGCCCCCCAAACCATCACCTCCTGGGTTAGGTTGCCATCTGAGTCTTTGGCAAACTCTTGATGCCTGAGCTAAGGCCTATGGGGGCACCTTCCCAAAGCCCCATCTACCATCCTGCTAACTTGGGTGGGTTTCTTACGCTTCCCTCTCTGGCCTGCCTTGTTGCAGCCAGACGATGGCACACCAGCTGGCCTGTCTGTCTGGGCAGAGCCGACGGATGCCAGACGGAGCAGAAATGGCTGTGGGCCCAGCTCTATCCATCTCCAGTCCTGGCCCCGGCTGGGGGATGGGGTCTGCCTGCCTGCTTGCCTGCTGGTGCCGCAGGCAAAAGGGCTGGGAGCCCTGATGGTCTCCAAAGATAGCAGATTCTTCAGGAACCCGCTTTACCCCTTTACCACCAGCCACTATGACCCAACATGACCCACAGCCAGCTTCAGATCTCTGGTATATTGTCTGTGCTTAGTCCAATGATCTAAGAGCATAAGAAAGCAAGCCCCAAGGTCAAGGAGCTGCAGAATCATTTCAGACAGATACCAACTGAATTCACCAAATGCCTCTTTTCTATCTAGCAAGAATTCCACTGCTCCTTCAATAGTCCCAATTCAAGGCACAATTATCCAACAGTTGGGATTAATCATTCTCTCAAGTCCTACTTGTCCAGTGGCCATCTCACTTTATAACAAAACACCATGTTGAAGCTCCTTGTGAACATGTTCTACTTCACTGTGACCTTTCTTGGTGCTTGAGACTTCCTGACTTCTAGTCTGGAGGTGGGGAGGAGAAGCCTGGGCCTAAGGAGCCCTAAGAGGCAGTGGGATGCCACTGCCACCTTCCCTGGAGGCCTCGGCAACTTGGCTCCATCAGGTCCCCTGCCTTCATCCCTCATCCTAGCCCAGGTCCACTCACCACTTGCGCTTCATGTAGGCAGCAGCTCGGTTCCCGTAGAGCATGGCATTGTGAGGGGCCCTCTGCACGGCCTTGCTGTAAAGCTGAATGGCCTGGGTCCACTGCTGGCAGGCAAAGGCCTCATTGGCTTGCTGTTTCACACGCTCCAAGTATGGGGGCAGCTCTACCTGGGGGCTATGGGGAAGGACAGTCAAGTCAGGTCAGCCAAAGAAGGTCAGAGCAGCCTCTCAGGAAGTCTGCAGCCTTGCCTGAGGGCCACCCGTATTTTTTTTTTTTTTTTTAAAGATTTTATTTATTTATTAGAGAGTGAGCGAGAGAGAAACAGCACAAGAAGGGAGAAGGTCAGAGGGAGAAGCAGGCTCCCCGCTGAGCCAGGAGCCCGATGCCCGATGTGGGACTCGATCCCAGGACTCCGGGATCATGACCTGAGCCGAAGGCAGTTGCTTAACCAACTGAGCCACCCAGGCGCCCGCCACCCGTATTTTCTTGGTCCCTGGGATCTGCACTGTCATTTAGAAGAGGGGAGCACTTCTATCCTTGGCCTGGGTTACTTAATAGGTTAACAGGCACATGTCCAGAGACTCTGAACCAGTGAAAAAAACAGAGGAACAGAAATGAAGCTGTCATGGATAGGCTAAAGGTAATTCTCTCGCTCTCTTTTTTTAAGTAAACTCTATGCCCCCAACATGGGGGTCAAATTTATGACCCTAAGATCAAGAGCTGCATGCTCCACTGACTGAGCCAGCCAGGCACCCCAAAGGAATTTGATTTGATTCGATTCAATTTATTAGACAGGGAGCGAGCACGCGCACGTGAGTGGGGTGTGAGCAGAGGGAGGAGAGAATCTCAAGCCAACTTGTGCTGAGTGTGGAGTCTGACACGGGGCTCAATTTCATGAGCCTGAGATCAAGACCTGAGCCGAAATTGAGAGTTGGATGCCTAACTGGCTGAGCCACCCAGGTGCTCCCCAAAGGCAATTCTTAATCAAACTCCTGGGCATGATAGTAGCTAACCACCAGCCTCCACATTGAGCTGAATTGTGTGACCACCCAAGTTCCTCCCACGGATCTCTCTAAAGAGACTTCTGTTTCTCTCAAAGTTTAGAGGATTTGAACCCCTCTATATCCAAAGCCCAGCATTGGGCCTGGCAGTGAATAGAGGCCAAAAGATGGTATGGGACAAAGAAAAATGTAATGGGGGAAGCCCATCTATGTGGAATACCTTTAAAGAGAGAGCTCAGTACTAAGAGGCAGCTGGCCCCTGGGTTCTGCCCCAGCTACTGATACCAAGGGACTGGAGCTTCAGTCTGAGCATGACTGGAATCCTACCAGGTAGGAGCAGTATTGGAACCACTACTCATTACTCCATTACATCCCTTGCCCCAGTCCCCAGACTCTGAGGTATGTACCTGGATGGAAGGTTTACAACACATGCTCTTCCCTCCAATTATACTGTAAGGTACCATAAGGTGTAATTGGGACTGGGAGAGCTGGACAAGTCAGGCTGGCCTCACCTGACATGTCCCCTACTCTCCGGCAGCCGGAAGCCATTGCTATGAAGGTGCAGGCCATTGGACACGCCGTTGGATACACCATTGGTGGACATCTTGCCGTTCTGAACTTCTGGCAGGGGTGGGGAGAAAGAACAACAACAACTCAGGAGGAGCTCCTCATTTGCTCCTCAGCAGCCCTCCAGCTTCCATCACAGGATCTGATGGTTCCACTGTGGACCATACTCCCAGGGTTAGATCCATTCCCAGAAAGCAAGTTCTGACAGGCAGGCAAGTGCATAAGGAAAAGCCTTTGCGCCCTCTGCTGGTTGGAGAGGGACACAGCTTCAACTTGGCACTGCCCTTAGCTGGGTGTGGGGAAGGGAGGGAGGGGTGCCTAAATCAACTGTAGGCCCCAGGAAGGAGACAGTGAGGAGACTGATCCAGGACGAGAAAGGAAGGGCAAGTACTTCAGGTCCTCAAGAGACAAGCCACGGGAAAAAACTGCTTTTTCAGAGGGAAGTGAAAAGGGCCATGATGCAAACCCCTTTGACAGATCTCTCTGACCTACTGTTATCTCCCTTCTTACTGTAGAGAGTGTTCAGAGAATCTAGTCCTTTCGGAGGATCACAGCCACAGCACAAGGGAATGGGCAGCTTTCTCAGCCACTCTGCTGAGATGCCTAGCTCCCCAGCGGAGATACCCTACCCCAAGAGAGAACTTACCCCCTGAGGAATGGCATTTTCTAGGCAAGAGGAAGGTGTACGGCCGCTGCTTGTAAGTCAGGTCAAACAAATAGACCTAGAGTGGAAGGGTCAAGAAGAGAGACGGAGGCTGTGAGCTAAGAATGTGGTTGGCCGTGAGCAAGGCCTTGGTGGCTTGATGGCTCTCAGGAACACAGAGTGTTGAGCAGGGAGCCATCCGGCAAGGCCAGGAGGGGTTCCTGTGGAGCAAACCTCAGGCAGGAACATCTTCCCAGTTCCCGGCCCTGAGGGAGGACTGCTTAAAACACTGTCATTAATTAGAAACACATGTTTAAGTTGGAAAGGTCCTCAGAGGTCACAAAGCCAAATGTCTCATTTTACAGATGGGAAAACTGAAACCTCAGAGAAGGGAAGCAATTTGTCCAAAGTAACAATGCTACCTACTTCTCTCAGTGAACATTATCTATTATTATTTAATGTTTATTCAAGTCTTACTTTGCTTTAGGAACTCCAAATGTTTTTTATGACTTACCTCATTTCATCCTAGAAACTACATCATGAAGAGGTACTATTATTTTTCTTTAGTTTATTGTTTTTAGTAATCTCTACACCCAACATGGGACTCTGAACTCACGACCCCAGGGATCAAGAGTTGCATGCTCTTCCGACGGAGTCAGCTAGGTGTCCCAAGAAGTACTATTATTATCACCCCCTTTATAGATGAAGAAATATGGCTCAGACTTTATTTACCCAGGGCCATAAAAGCAGCATGTGGTACAGCCAGGACCCAAAACCAAGTCTGTCTGGCTCTAAACCACTCTGCTAGACTGCCTTTCTATTCATCCTTATGCTATCTTTAGGCCAGGTGATGGCTCAGCAATCTGAAGCCAGAACCATATTCACCTGCTCTCCATCCCAGTTCTTTGGTACATAATCCGCCTTGCCTTGTAATGTCATCAACTGGTTCACTTGCCATGTCTCCCCTGTCAACCTGGGCTGGATCGTATTTCACATTTGTCTCCTTCATCTTTATAATAATGCTAATCCCAGAGTAAGTGCTCAGTGCGTGTTTGTAAAATAAATGGATTTAAGCAAGGCTTACTAAATATCCTGACCGAGAACACGGAAACGGAAGGGTTAGTAACTGCCCATTATCAAGGAACACTCCTACAGCTGATCTTAACCCAAAGCCTGGCTCTGAGCCCCAGGGTTTCCTCCTAGGAAAATGGAGGATGAGGAAACTGAGGCTCAGAATAATGAAGACACTCACAGTTCAAACTCACAGTACACAGAAGGCCAGAATTTGAAGACAGGTCCGTCAGTTCTAAAGCTTAAGCAAAAGCCAAGGCCAGGGCACCTCTCTGGGAATTCCAATGATGCCATGTTGCTCCTACACTTCACCAGTCATTTGCAATAAGGCTATTGCTTCTTGTCTGCCTCATGGCAGTGGAAGTGAGGTATAAGCCCTGGCTGCTGAATGTGGGGTGGTGGTGGGGCAGAGCCACCTTGGGCAACCATACCTACCTGCTCCCCTCCCATGTTGACCAGCAGCTCTGTGCCATTGGGGCTGAAGGTCACATAGGTGGCAACCAACACTCTCAGACGATTGTTGTAATCAGGCAGCTTCACTGGCAGGTGACCTGCGGGGAGCAGCTCAGTTACCCTAATGTGAGGCTCCCCATCTTCCCCCCCCCGCCAGAGGGGAAGGGAGTTGTGTGAAGCCAACCATATCAATAATGGTAGCAATTATCTTCATCATAAAAGCAGCTGCAAGTGTTGAGCACTTACTATATGCACTAGGCTAATTGCTTTATATACTTTATCTCATTAATCATTACAATGCCATTTTATGGAAAAGAAATTAAGGCTCATCAAGGCTAAGTAATTTGCCAAAGGTCATAGGATGGCTGGTTAATAGCAGTCAGGATGAAAGCTCACATCTGCCTTGCTCTAAAACCCTTGCTCTTGACCACCACGCCATGCTATCTCCCTGTACTGCCCTGAAGAGAGTCAACGCCCAGCCAAGAATGTGGGTCCAGAGCTGGACTGAGCCCTACCTGCTACGTAATACTGGGCTGCACCATCCGGAAGAGGCTTCTGCCGGTCACAGAAGGTGTGGACACCTGCCGAAGGGCTCTGCTTCATGCTCTTCCTGGTGGGAAGGCAAACCGTATAGGTTATAACCCCTAGCACTACCCCTGGCTAGACCAGACCACAATCCCTAGAGGAAAACCTAAATTTTTATCTTTGAAAGGGGGTGCCTTTCTTCCTTACCTGAGCAACCCCACAGTTTCACCAAATAGATAGCCATGGCCACATACATTACAGTGCTTTACAAGTAGGTCCTATCCATCACCTTGGTCCTCATGACCACCCTATTATCCCCATTTTACAGATGATGAAGTTAAGGTTCAAGGTCCACTCCAGGTCATGTAGTGTGAGGAACAGCAGTGGTTGCCCAAACCCACAAATGAAAGTAAAGCAGGCCAGACATCCCTGCGCTTGTCCCAGGAGTCAACTGAAAACCCAGGCTGGCAGAGCTGCTCAGATCTGGGACTTATATGGAGCTTCTCATTATATTCTACATTTGTTTTAAAAAAAATAAAATAAAATGTACATTTTAAATGTACAAAAAAGAAATTACATGTACAAGATTATAACTCTGTACAAATACTTGCAGGAAGAGAACAAGCAGCAAATACTATACACAGTGATTTGTTTCAGGTGGTGGCTTATGGGTTGTTTCTTCATTTTACTTTCCATTATTTTCCAAAACATGGATTAAATTTTAAAAAAAAAATCACAAAAATTAAAAAACCCACCTCAAAAAGAAGAGGGCATGGCAACGAGGGAAAGGGGCAGCAGGTTCCCAGAGGCCTGCCCACAGGAGGCCGAACTAGTCATACCTGTGGTTATGGATCATGCGAATGTCATAGAGCCTCACAAAGGGCCCACTGGCCCCTACAGCCAGGCAGTTGTTGTCCTGGGGGTTGACGGTGAGGCACTTGGCCTCCACCAGCTGGCCACAGTACTCTGTCAGGTCAATCAGCACCTCCGAGTGTTTGCTGTTCTCCCGAAGGTCATACTGGCTGTGAGAGAGGACAGCGTTAGGGGATAGGTGTTGGGTCCTCCCTGTGAGGCGGGGGAGAAGCTAAGGTCTTGTTATACAAAGGAACTGGGAGCAGCTTTGACCTGTTCCTAAATAATAAGAATGTCAAAAACCACCACTCCTGGGGCGCCTGGGTGGCTCAGTCGTTAAGCATCTGCCTTTGGCTCAGGGCATGATCCCAGGGTCCTGGGATCGAGCCCTGCATTGGGCTCCCTGCTCCGCAGGAAGCCTGCTTCTCCCACTCCCCCTGCTTGTGTTCCCTCTCTTGCTCTCTCTCTCTGTCAAATAAATAAATAAAGTCTTTTAAAAAAACCCAAAAAACCACCACTTCGATTTCTTTCTTTCTTTCTTTTTTTTTTAAAGATTTTGTTTTTAACTAATCTCTACACCCAGTGTGGGGCTTGAACTCATGACCCTGAGATTAAGAGTTGCACACTCCTCTGACTTAGCCAGCCAGGCGCCCTGAAAAACCATTCCCATTTCTCAAGTGTTCACTGTGGGCCAGGCACCTAAAATAGGCTTCTCACACAATCTTATTCTTTATATAACTACTTAAGGTAAATACTACTGTAAAGATGTCAGTGACATTGCTATTAACTACTACTACTACTACTGATCACTAACAGCGAGAAACTGCTTTGTGTCCAGTACTGTCCCTAAGTGTTGTACGTGGATTATCTAAATCCTCGTGCTGTTCGCAGGTACCATTAGAACGCTGAGGCTGAAGCAGCGACGAAGCCTGTCTGGGATGACACTGCCAGTAATTCTGAAGCTGGGATAGCGCAGAGCTGGGGAGACCGCCTTTAACCACCTGGCTCTGCTCCTTAACTCCACTTTTAATCTAATTTCTTACAGGAAACAGAAGAAGTAATGGAGGTGACAGAAAAGAGAATCTAGAGGTTGCCTAAAAGCGATCTAGAAACACTCAGCGCCTCAAGACCAGCCTGAGCCCCACTCAGGAGGTAAAGGTCATGCCAGACATCCCCGGCAGTAGCACAGCCCTGCCTGCAGTTTGGGGGGCTCCTGTGCTGCCGATACACAGGCACAGGGAATGGGGAGGATGTCCCCTGCGTGCTCACCCACCTTCTGCCTAGACATTGGCAATAATCTCCACCCTGTCCGCCTTGCCTTTCTATGCTGACCTCACCAGATTGCTCTTCCTAAAATACTGTTTTTGTTACATCACCCTCCTGCTCAAAAAACTGCAGAGATTCCTCAATACTTCTAGCATGAGTTTACTGTTGGTTTACTTTTACCGAACTCCTCAGTCTGGTTTCTAAGACCTGATTTCACACCAACCTTGTTCCTCAGTTTGCTAACGATGCCAATTACAGCCATCCCCTCTGTGGTTATTTACCCTGCCTTCACAAACTGCTCAAGTTGGGGAGTCCACTCTGCTTTTCCTTGCCCATCCAAATCCTGTCTATTCTGGAAGGCCCAGCGTATGTATGTTCACCTTCTGCGAGGACACCTTCGCTGATCGTACCTTTGCCTAAGCACTTAGGCTCCAACCCTAGATGCTTAGCCTCTACCTGCTGCCCTGGCACAGCCTGGTTAGTCAGGGTCAACAAGAGTAACAAGGAATTGTACCTGCCACCGACCAAAGTGCTTTCTGTCTTCCAAGTACTATCCTAAGGTTTTACAGGCACTATCTTGATTTTAATGCTCAGGCCAACAAGAGAGATATTATAATAATTCCCATTATAGATGAAGAAACTGAGATTCAGGGGTAAAGTGACTTGCCCCAAACACTGAGTGACAGAAGCAGGACTTGATCCCAGGTCTGTCTGACATCAGTGCCCTGTTTCTAACTGTTGTTTTATAGTTCATGTATGATTTAGATATCTCTCCTCCTTTGTAACAGGGAAGAGGGCATAAAGTCCTGTAGGCATTAAAGCAGGTTGGAGAGATAAGGAAAAAGTTCTAAGGTCACCTTTGCAGAAAGGAGTTAAAGGGCAATGAGACCATTTTAGGATGAAGGGAAGTAGAGGCAAAGGTTGACAAACCAGGCCACTGGAAAGGGGGAAAGTCCACTTTACCATTTCTGGCTGGCTATCCCCTTCTCACACATATGCCCACTGTTCAACTATTTGAGAGAAATGTATCAAGCACCTCTACATGCTAGGCACAGTGCTGGGCTCTAGGAACAGAACCAGGGACAAGAGAGAGATGGAGCTGCTCTGACAGTTCACTGTTCGGTGACTGATACAGACAAAAAGATAAACCAACAAGTAAATAAAATAAAAGAATTACAAATGGGACTGGAGTTATAGAGGATACAATTAGCGTGCTGAGACAGAAAAATGGGGGAGGGGTCTACTTCAGACAGGATAGTCAGAGAAAATGCTTCTGAGGTGATTCTTAAAATGATCTCAGGGTGAGAAAGAGCCAAACATGGAAAGAACTGGGGACAGAGAAAACCAGGTGGAGGGAACATTAAGTGTGAAAGCCCAGAGGAGGCTGCCTCTGTGTTGGTGACAGCAGGCTGGCAGGCCTGGATGTAGTGGAGGAGAGGGTAAAGAGTGGGGAAGAGGAGAGCAGGACAAGCAAATGTTCCCAGTTGTATGTTCACAGACAGGTCCCCTGGGCAGACAAATAACGCAACTCTGCTGAAGGGAAGGAACCAGGCCTGTGGAAGGAAGCAGTAGGGGCAGATGGGATGGGGGGAGCCAACATGCAGGGTGAGCAGGGGAGATGCAGGTCCCACTCCATGCCTCAGGCCCTTACCGGATAAGCCCATCCTCAGCAGCACTCCAGAATGTGTTGGGCCACATGGGCGCTGTGGCGATGCGTTTTACCCGGTTTGTGTGGTCTCCAAACATGTGGATTGTTTCCTTTACTGTCAGGTCGTGGACATGCACTTTGGAGTCAGCTGCCCCCGTGATCAAGATGCGGTCCCCAGCATGAGGCAGGAACTGCTCCAGAGAGATTGAAGAAGAGATTGGCAGACAGTGGGGATAGGATTGGCCAGGAAAGAAGACTAGCCTGGATGTTAGCACCCTCTTTCCTTCATTTCAGGTAAGAAAATGAGCCCAAGACAGTCCACTAAGGCAACTGGCTCTCAAGCATCAGCCCAGCCCATAGGCCTATAGGTCAGAATTGGGACATACACCTTTACTTTGCTGGAATAGTCCTGATTTAGGCCAGACTGGACTAAGGAACCCTTTTCCTCTGATTCTTCCCAAGGTAAGAGCTGAGTGGATGATAATCACAGCTGTTACCATTTACTAAGCATTTACCATGTGCTAGACACCTGGGCACATACCTTATCTTATTGATATTTAAAATAACCCACTTAAAATTGAGGTTTAGCACTAACATTGAGTTAACTCAAGTATGTCTGATTCCCATGTGCATATTGCCTCATGAGGACTATTTGATAACCTGAGGATTACATAATAAATTAGCCTTAAAGTGAAAAGGATTCCAGTGTTTTAAGAAGGAAGTAGTATTTTAAGTTGGTTCAAATATTTCTGGAGAACAATCTGGCAATAGGTAACCAAATAAAAGATGTTTCTATCTTATAACCCTAAACTTCCACTCCTGAGAAATAATTCTATTAGAAAAAAGGGACCTATGCAGAAATGCTCAGAGCAGCACTCCTCATAATGACAAATACTGGAAATGGCTCAAATGTTGGACCCTTGGGAAGGATTGAGCATCAGGAGGAAACATCTCCATGTAGCTGAGAACCAGAACATTCAGATGAAGTTGAGAATAGAATATTCCAAATGACATGTGGTAAGAACAGCCATAAATATAGCTTTGAACAGTAATTTTTAAAAAGTGTGCAGTTCTATCACCTCGTTTTGAGGAAGAAATATTTGGGTATGGGGTTAGTTGGCTCTTTCTCTTCATTCTTGAATTCAAAAATTTTAATTATCTTCTTTCTTAATTGAAAAGCTTCTCTCAACCCATAACAAGGCTGAACGGGTGCTGGGGTTGAGGCATTACTCTGCATTTAAAGAGCTCAAGTCCTACTACATGAAAAGAGCAACAATTCACTCTTTCCACACACCACTATCTAATGGCTCACCAGGACAAGGGCTAGATGAACCAGATGGAATTTAATTATTTTTAGGGGCAACTAGTAGTCTTTAATCCTGTCTGGAGACAGCATGTACTTCATGCACAACAGAAATGAGTAGGTGAGCTCTTGAGGACTAGTGCCTCACTCATCATACACTGTAGTTGCCACCAGGGGGAGCTTGTGGGTTAAGTAAAAATACGTGTAGTGTAGCGTTACTACCTGAAGAGAGAATCCTTTTCTACACTTTCACAGGAGGCTGAGGGTCTGTGAATGAAAGTGTGTTGCCCCAAATTTTACTATTAGTGAGTATCAAGACCATTGTCAAATTCCAGTTTCTGAATTCAACATTTTGTGCTCTATGATGCTCAACTGATGGCACAGGGCCCTTTCCCAGATGCCACCCCATGGATTCAAATTGAACCTGACACTTTTCAGGGGACAGAAAACAGTCTGTTTGCCATGCAGGAGGTGAATCAGCATTGTTCTGTCTCTAAAATTGCAGAAAATCATCTAGGATTGGTCCCTGGAACAGGAGGTGAAAACCAGAGCTCGGGAAGGAGGCAGGGTTTAGGGAAATAAATAGGTTCTCAGCTCTCAAATCTACCTTCTTCTTCATGTGTCTTGTGATTCTTCTTGATATTAATTAGGAAAATATTTCTTAGCTTAGTGAGGCTTTCCAAAGGACAGCCTCTCTCACATACATCCATTATAGAATTTCAGGGCTGGAAAGGTCCTTAAAAGTCATTTCCTCCAACTGTAAACCTGACAGATAAAGTTCCCGGTGTGGAGAGTACCTCAGTTCTTGGACATTTACTACATTCTCCAAGGGCCCATTCTATCTTTTCCAAATTGCTCTAAGCATTTGACCCTTTGCTCCTTCATCAGGCCCACATTTGCTTCTGTGGACTTCAAGAGCCACTAACCGCACGTCTGTTCTCTGGGACCAAAAGGCAGAAGTTTCGTGTCATGTCCACTTACAGGGCTTCAGAGGTCTGAAGACACTTGTAAGTCTGTTCCCACTTCTCCTCGGCTCACTTCCACCAACAAATCAGTAGCTTGAATGAAGAACAGCTAAACGCACTTGTGCCAGGTGCTTTTTTACAATCATCTCATTGACTATAGTATTAAGCCTATGATGTGCTGCTTCCCTTTTAAAATTAAAGGGTTACTGACTCATTTACTCATGAATCCGGGGGGTTTTCCTAAGCTACTTCATATTTACAGATGAATAAAGGGGCTCAAAGAGGTCAGGTGACTTGCCTAGGTCACAGAGCTTCTAAGAGGCAGATAAGGGGGTCAAACACAGGTCTTCCTGCTATTTAAGTTCATGCTTGGAACCATACCACCCACCATCACCACTCAAATAAATATAAATTCACCTAGAGCTGGCCTTGCGGCCCTAAGTGAGGAAGTAGAACATGGAAAAGAGATGGGGTTTCAGGAATCACAGTCAGATGCTCAGATCACCAAGGTGTCTGTGACCCCAGGGGGTATGTGGGACACAAATGGGCAAACACAACCATGTGCACAGCCCAGTCATGCCTTTTACTTGTTCTGGGCCTTATCCTGCTCACCTTGACAGAGAAGATATTTGCCGTGTGTCCTGTGTGCATGGAGAGCAGCTTCTTGTGGTGCAGAGGGTCCCACACAATTGTGTGCTGGTCATCGGAACCAGAGGCCAGCAAACTGCAAGCAGAATGAAGGGTTCTGACCTCTCCTCGAGTTCCCAGGCCACGCTCCCCTCCCCCACGTCCCCTGTTCATAGGGAATGAAGCCACACAGAGTGTGACAAACAGGAGATATCACAGAATTCAACGTTATCTTATAAACCTTAGTTGAATCTCTTCTATTTTATCCTAAGGATTTCTCATTATTCCTTAAATGCATTAGATTATCAAAAAAACAGGGTTTGGGTGGTCACCCAAGTCACTGTTCAACTGTGTGTTGATAATGATGGACTAAACTTAAGTACACAGAAAAGAGCAGCAGTTTCTTTTCCTTAGATCTACTAAGAAGGAGGAAAGTCCCCTCTCCCAGCTCCCCACTCCCATCTCCAGCACCTTCTCAGGTGCTCTAGTTCATACTCACTCTCCTTTCTCGTTCCACTCCAGACAGTTGACACATCCTGAGTGACCCTGGGGGAGCAAATGGAAAGGGACAAGAGAGCCAGTTAGAGGTTCTCCTGTGGGGACTCAACACCAAGAAGTAGAACTAAACAGGTAAACTGGCCTTTCCATCATTAGTGTTTTCCTGGTGCATGTGAGTGACCAGAACTGAATTACACTGCCTAGTATCTTATAATATATAAAATATTTTCATAATCATGATCTCACTTAATACTCAACACCTTTAAAAGATTTTATTTATTTGAGAGAGAGAGACAGTGAGAGAGCACAAGCAGGGGGAGCGGCAGAGGGAGGGGGAAAAGCAGGCTCCTTGCTGAGCAGGGAGCCCGACGAGGGGCTTGATCCCAGGATCCTGAGATCACAACCTGAGCCAAAGGCAGACGCTTAGCTGACTAAGCCACCCAGGAACCCCCACCTGAGCCTTTTAAAGGGCAGGTTTCATTGATCCTATTTTGCAAAAAAGTAAACTGAAGTTCAGATCAAAGTAAGCAGAAGTGTGATCCAAACAAATTTCTGCTCCTACCACTAAAAGGGACGTGTCCCCTTCCTGGGACATCCCCTCAGCCACAGAAAATTTGCCCAGAGGAGTATCTGATTCAAAGACAGCCAATTAACTAGAAGGCTGATCTTTCATCCATTTGGCATATATTTAATTTGTCAAGCACCCACTGCATATCAGGTACTGTTTAGACACTGGGGATATAGCAGTATACAAAACAAAGTCCCTCATCTTCTGGAGCTTACTTCAAGTAGGTGGAGCCTGGTATAGTAAGGTTAACTGGGACAGAGTCTTGAGCTTGGGGGTCTGAATTGAGAAACATGGAGAGAGTGAGGCAGTTACCAACAGACGCTGAAGGTGAAAGCATGCAGAGAGAGAAATCATGGTAAAGCCAGAGCCATGAGGAAACAGAACCCATGAAAAGCAGAAGGTATAAAGTGGCAGAAGTGAGTCCTACATTGGAGAAGGAAGGAACAAGTCACTAGGCATTCCTATATACTGTTTTCTGTTCTCCCACCCTCCTTCATTCCTAATGGTACCTAGATTTTCATTTACTTATCTCCCTGTTCCAAATTAGACCATGTGTTTCAGCAAGTATAAATCCACTGTCCTTGCCAAACTGATAGGTTTAGGAACTTAGGCCTTCCTTAACCAAATTGGACATGGCATTCACTTGGGCACAGGGACTGGCTCAAAAGTAAGCCTGTGACCCCAATCAGATGCCAAGGGTACAGCTGCTAGGAGGCTTCTGGAAAAGGAATTTCCTCATTCTCAGGAGACAGTCTATGAGAGAGATGCCTTTCTTCTTTTGGATGCTGGGTGTATGGATGTGACATCTGGAATTGCCACACAAGGGAAGCCAGCCTGAGAGTGAAGTCAACACATAGAGGGCAGCCCAGCCAAAGGGAAATACAAAAATGGAGCAGGAGTGTGGATGGAACTGGAGGGTATTATGCTGAGAGAAATAAGTCAATCAGAGAAAGACATGTATCATATGACCTCACTGATATGAGGAATTCTTAATCTCAGGAAACAAACTGAGGGTTGCTGGAGTGGTGGGGAGTGGGAGGGATGGGGTGGCTGGGTGATAGACATTGGGGAGACTATGTGCTACGGTGAGCGCTGTGAATTGTGTAAGACTGTTGAATCACAGACCTGTACCTCTGAAACAAATAATACATTATATGTTAAAAAAAAAAAAATGGAGCAAAAGTGACCAGAGTAACCAATACTGATGCCTACTCTACTTCTGGACTTCCAGTTAAGTGAGACAGTCAGTTCATTATTGTTTAAGGTCATCTGACTTGGACTGTTACTTGTGGCCCAAAGCATGCTAACTTGATAGCTCAAACTCAGGTCCCAGTTTATGGGTACTTCCTTCAAGATGCCTTTCCTGTCCTGTAAATTTGGGAAGGAGGCATACCCTTCCTTGTGGGCTCCTCCTGTCACACTGGATTATGGCTCTATGTTGATATGATTGTCTGCTTCACTAGACGTAGCCCTGAGAAAGCAGGCTTTGTGTCTTATATTCATTGTATCCCCAAGGCCAGATACAGAACCTGGCACGTATCTGTTGCCTGAATGAACAAATGAATCCAGTGGGACCAACAGGAAGGATCGAGAGATATGAACAATTATCTGGTTAGGTTATTTTATTTTATCTTTTTTAAAGATTTTTTTTTTTTTTTAAGATTCTATTTATTTATTAGAAACAAAGAGAGAGCACAAGTAGGCAGAGCGGCAGGCAGAGGGAGAGGGAGAAGCAGGCTTCCCACTGAGCAGGGAGCCCGATGTGGGGCTCGATCCCAGGACCCTGGGATCATGACCTGAGCCAAAGGCAGATGCTTTAACGACTGAGCCACCCCAGGTGCCCCAGGTTATTTTATTTTTTAAGATTTTATTTATTTGAGGGAGGGAGAAAGAGTGCGAGCGCGCACACAAGTAGGGGGAAGAGCAGAGGCTGAGGTTGAGAGAGAAGCAGACTCCCTGCTGAGCAGGGAGTCCAATGTGGGGCTCGATCCCAGGACCCTGAGATCATGACCTGAGTCAAAGGCAGAGGCTTAACCGTCTGAGCCACCCAGGCGCGCCCCCAACTATCTGGTTAGAAACGCTTTTCTTCTGCCTTCTCCTTCCCTCTTACCCTTTGTCCTATAAAGATTCTCATCTGGATTGAACCACATCTCTTTCTGGGTTCTGCACTTACATGCATTCACTCTGTTCAGACTTGTCAGATCACTTGCTGACCTGAGCCTCTCTCACATTCCCATGGCACTTGGCTGAAACCCCCACACATGGCTCTGGTCACTCTTTTTGGGTCAGAATAATTTCTGTCCTCAGCGGTTTCATTTTCCCACCAGGATGTAAATTACTGTGCCTGGGATCACATCTATAGCTTGCAATCTCCCAGAGTACCAAAGGCCTTAAGTGATCACCACTTACTGAGGGCTTACAAAGAGCAAGGCACAGTACTAAGTACTTGTGGTAGGCAGAAAAATGGCCCCCAGCGTCTGTGTCCTGATGCTCTGGAACCTATGAATATGTAATATTTGGTGGCAAGGGGACTTTGCAGATGTGATTAAAGTTAAGGTCTCTGAAATGGGGATTGTGTTCTAGATTATCCAGGGGGTCCCAATACGATCACATGAGTCCTCAAAATCAGAGAACCTTTCCTGGCTGCAGAACTAGAGAGATGTAGGTGGGAAAGGGATTTGTCTTGTTCTTGCTGGCTTTGAAGATGGAGAAGGGGCTTATGGGTCAAGAAATGCAGCAGCCTCTAGGAGTTGGGAACTGCAAAGGAATGGATTCTACCCTACAGCCTCCAGGAGGAACACAGCCCTGTCAAGACCTTGCTTTTAGCCTGGTGAGACCTGGGTCAGACTTCTGATCTACAGAATTGTGAGATAATAAATTTGTGTTGTTTTGAGCCACTAAGTTTGTGGTAACTTCTTATGGCGGCAATAGGACACTAATTCAGGACTCCACATGCATTATCCTATTTAAGAAACAAGTGTCATTACTCATTTCACAGATAAGAAAAGCAATGCTCAGAGAGGTTAGGTAACCTGCTGTGATATTGTAATTTATAATAATTTATAATAAGAAATAGGGGACACCTGGGTGGCTCAGTTGGTTGGATGTCTGCCTTCAGCTCAGGTCGTGATCCCAGGGTCCTGGGATCGAGCCCCAAGTCAGGCTCCCTGCTCAGCGGGAAGCCTGCTTCTCCCTCTCCCTCTGCCCCTCCCCCTGCTTGTGCTCTCTCTCTCTCTGACAAATAAATGAATTAAATCTTTAAAAAAAAAAAAAAAGAAATACTTACTAGGTCTTCTTCCCCATTTCTGAGCCCCTAAAGCCCTTGGGATTTCCTAGTGATAACAGAGAAAAAGATGTCTTGACGTTTGTAACGAATCCCTTTCAACCACACCTGAGTTTATGTAAACTGATTTTTGGAAAGCACCTAAGGATGGGGGCTGGTTGCCAGAGGAACCAACCATATGATTGGAGGGTTAGAACTTTCAGCCCCAGGGGTGACTGGGTGGCTCAGTTAGTTTGATGTCTGCCTTCGGCTCAGGTAATGATCCCAGGGTCCTGGGATTGAGCCCCTCATCAGGCTTGCTTCTCCCTCTCCACCTTGCTCATGCTCTGTCACTATCTGTCTCTCTCAAATGAATAAATAAAATCTTAAAGAAAAAAATAACTTTTTTTTTTTTTAAGATTTTATTCATTTATTTGACAGAGAGAGACACAGCGAGAGAGGGAACACAAGCACGGGGAGTAGGAGAGGGAGAAGCAGGCTTCCTTGATGAGCAGAGAGCCCGATGTGGGGCTCAATCCCAGGACCCTGGGTTCATGACCGGATCTGAAGGCAGATGCTTAAACGACTGAGCCACCCAGGCGCCCCCCCAAAAAAGAACTTTCGGTCCTACTCCCCAGAGGTCAGAGAGGAGCTGGAGGTTGAACAGATCACCAATGGCCAATATTTTAATCAGTCATGCCTATGTAATGAAGCCTCCACAGAAACCCAAAAGAACAGGGTTCAGAGAGCCTATGCATCAGTAAACATGTGGAGAGTGGCACATTCCAAGAGGCTGTGGAAGCTTTGCACCCCTTCCTACATACCTTATCCTAGGCATCTCTTCTATCTGGCTGTTCCTGAATTATACCCTTTTAGAATAAATGGGTAATCTGGTAAGTAAAATGTTGCTGAGTAATGTAACCACTCTAGCAAATTAATCATATCCCAGGAAGAGGTTGTTGGAACCTCCAATCTATGGACGGTTGGTCAGAACTACAGGTGATATAACCTGGGCTTGTGACTGGCATCTGCAGGGGGTGGTGCAAGGGGTGGCCGGGCCATCTTATAAGACTAAGCCCTTAACCTGTGCAATGTGATGCTATCTATCGCCAGATCGATAATGTCAGAATTGAGTTAAATTGTAGGGCACCCGTTTGGTGTTGAAGAATTGCTTGATCGTGTGTAAAAAGAAACAAACCCCCCCACACACTGGACCTG